GTTCCATCCGCCGGGCGCGGGGCCGCGTAGGGGCCCGGCCGGGGGCTCTCGGAGCCGAGCTGCCCCAACTCCCATCACTTAGAGAAGCGGGGAGCTTTTATTTGGGGTTTGTGTGGGCCCGATCAGGCCTTCGATCTGTGCACTGAGAAAAGCCAGCGGGGCGGCGGAAGCGCTTTATCAGATCCCGGGCTACAGCGGCTTGCGCGCTGGTAACCCGAGAGGGTAAATAGAGACACGTGGGTGTCGCGCCCAGGGCCCGGGCAGCGCGAGGCTATTTCGGGCTCGCCAGGGACTTGGGGAGTGGGGGAAGGACTCTTGACACCCGACACCCCCTGGCCACCTTGTCCAACACCTGGGAGCCCCTCCGGAGGAAATCCGGTGGGACGGGCCTCAAGCTCAGAAGGGTTCACCCACGCCTGCTCCCCGCAGAGACACTTTGGAGGTATACCCCTCTTCCTTAAATGGCATCCTTCCCCCAAAAAAGAAAGCGCTTGGCTTTGGGGGCGGGGACATTTTGGGTCTTAAACCTGCGGCTTACTGAACACCTTGGAGTTCTCTTCTCTGTCCCATGGCAGGGGTGAGTACACGTTTTGAAAGAGTGGGGGCCCTGGGCTGCAAGGGGGCATAAAGGTGCTCTTGAGCGCGGGATCCGGTTTGAAGATGGGGCGGAGGGCAAGGGGCACCCAGCCTCCCTGTGGGAGGGTGAGGTCACCCGGAGGACACATGCCCGCGGAGCCAATAATGTCCAGAACGCTCAGGCTTTTTGCCAAACTCGCGTCCCTGTAGAGCAGCCGCTTTCTTCCTGCCCATTTAGCTTTTCCTTCCTTAGCCCAGGAGGGAATCTGCCACGAGCTTTTCTGCTCTCTGCGGGTCTGGGGAGGCGCTCTGAGCCCAGAGCACAGAGCAGGGCAGACCAAAGCCTCCCACGTGGCTCAGTCGGCCAGGATGGCGGTTACCAAAGCCATGCTGATGGGCACCTTCAGGGTGTCTGTGACCCAACTCTAAATTTCCCCCCTTTGAGCACAGAGCAGTTCTACTTTTCTCCCGTGGGCCTGCACTCAGACAGCCCTCCTAGGCTCTGAGGCCTCCAGCGCTCAAGCTGGGACAGTTTCCTTAAGACCCGGTAGGAGTGCTAGGCTTGTTTATACGTAAAATGACATTTTCAGTAGCAAAAGGACATTCAGCCTGCTTTTAGTCAGAGCTAATTGGAGTGAACAGCAGTTGAAGAGGCTATCAAAACGATCAACCCAATTAACTAGCGTCTCTCACCTCAGGGCTGGCAGGTTTTGGTAAATAGCAGTCACTCAGCTCATTACCACATGTACTGTTTTTGTGGTCGTTTTTACTTTTCGATCCTAAGTAGATAATAATCACTCAGAAAATATATGTTGAAAGAAAAAGACTCCCCTGGCCCAAACCCTGGCTTGCTCTCCTTAGAATAACTACATGAAGGGGTCTTTAAGGGGTCACGGCATGGTCCAAACTCTAAGGTGATTTTCTTTCTCTTGGGGTGGGGTTCGTGCTGTTAGGTGGCCAGACAAGCCTCTCAGGAGCCCTACCACGAGAAGGCCCGTGAGCACCCGGATGACGGTAAGGCCATCCTCCCTCCACCGTGGCTGGGAAGTGTGTGCGTGTGTCCTGGGTTTGTTTGCTGCCTTCATTTGTGTTCAAGAGACCAGGAGCAGACAGGTTGAGAAGACACCACTGTTTCCACAGAACGGGAGAGGAAGCACAGGCAATTTAGGACCTGTCTCATTTTAGAAGATGCCTCTGAATGAGTTAGGAGGCATTGGATTTCAGTTGCTCTCCAGATTCTTAGGGGAAGAGTGGATGTTTACAGTGAGGTGGGGCTTTTTCCCCTCAAGAAGAATAGTTTTGAGTGGATTTTCCATCTTGCTGCGGTGAGAAGGTTGGTGGGGAGGAATAGGGTGAACGAGGCCCAGTAACAGGTAAGCCTAGCTTGTGAAAACAGAAAACTTACAAGTAAGTTTGTAACTGTGCATAGCAAGCAGGGAAGACTGCCCCGTTTCTGATGCTTGCTGTGAAAACTTTCAAAATTAAGACTATGTGGAATATTTTTTATTGAAGGATAGCTCCTGTGGCTTGGAAGGAATCAGATAAGTGGTGGAGTTTACTTGTCAGCCCTTGTGCATTTCTGGTCTCCTCAGTGACTTCCCCACGGCCTGGCTAGACTGGCCTGTGTGTGTGTACCTACCGTTCTGCTAACCAGAAGGGCCAAGAACAATGTGTCAGGCTTCCCTCTCGGCCACCACACCCTCACATGGATTGAAGTGTGTCAATTGAACGCACATGGATCTCTCTGGCTGCCTGATGAAAGTGTGGCATGTAAAAAAAAAGCAAGCCCTGCAGAGTCAGTCCCTTATAAATGTGGTCAGTGGCTCATCATCTAGGTAGAACTCTGTCGTTCAGTAAAAGGTTAGCATTTTTGAGTTTGCCAAGGGAAGCATAACTTCAAGTGTTTAAGTGTGTATGTATATATGTAGGTACATACAGATGGCCTCTTATATTTGTATTACAGCTTTAGGATTGTGTGTGCTGCTTTGTGTTCTGTGTTTCTTAGCCCAGTTTGTTAGCATTAGAACAAATTAATTTAGATGGATAATACCTGTTTTTATAAAACACCCAGTACTGAAGTAAATTGAACCACATGTGTTTTAAACATCTGGTATGTTGTTAAGCCTTTTAAGAGAATAAATACTGTCAATGTAAAATACAGCATAATAATTCAGTTATAGTATTTTATAAACGTCTTTTTACAGAGAGTCTGATTTGCTGCAGAGCTATTAGATTTTTTTTTTCTGATGAAAAGTACAGTGATGCGAAAGGGACTTGGATACATTATTGATAACCCTGCGTCCTGGCAGGAAAACACCCAGATGGAGGACTCTACAACAAGGCGCCATCCTACTCCAGCTACTCCGGCTACCTGATGATGCCGAATGTGAACAGTGACCCGTACATGTCAAACGGATCCCTCTCTCCGCCCGTCCCCAGGACGGTGAGTACCGTGCAGGCGTTGCAGGCTGTGTTCTGACGTGCACACAGATTTGTGTTTCGGCAGGATGTTGGGGATCTTCTTTTCAATCATATTGGAAATGCTTCCCTGAGCGGTCCTTGCTAAGTAGGAGCTGTGGCGGGGAACGATGGCGCTGTTTTAAAATAGGGCCACCTTTGATGTGTTGCATTTGGTTGTTAGCTTCTGGTTTGCTGGTAGGGTTAATAAGTAACAGATCTCCAAGTATGAAATCAAATGACAGTGAAACAGCAGATCCATGATCGTGAGGACTGTGCTTTCAATGCTGATGACAGGAAGAAATGGATTCGGTCTTTCAGTTAACTAAAGACTGGTGGTTTTCCAGGCCCTTCAGCCACCCAGAAGGAAAACTGTAGGCTCATTTGGAGCTGACCACGCAGATTGTCACTTTGGCTTTCAGAAGTGTCTTGTTTTATTTTATTCTATTAGCTTCTGTTTTTAGAGTCCTTTGAGAGGGGTAGATGGGCTATTTTTACTTTATTGTTGGTTGTTGAGAAAGTTTCGCTTGCAGATAGCCTAATGAAAGTTGTTCCTTTTTTTATCTCATGGTTCAGTTCACCTCTGAAATTCTAAAATTCCGGTGGCCCCTGTAACTGCAGTATGCAAATGCATGGCTTGGAGGGCTTCATTTGTCCCTTGATGATAGCTCTCTTTTCTTGGAAAGTGAAAACCTCACTTGTGGGGTGAGGAGAGGCCTGAACAGTGACTGGTGCGGGGTGTGGGTATGAAGGTTGCTGGGTCTCTGCAGCGCCCCCATGGGAAGCCTGTGTGCGTGGGTCCTGGGGGTCAGGGTTTCGACTCACTTGTTACGCTTGGGGGCCAAATCTTCTATCAGAAGTGGAGCCCGGGATCTTTGCCTGTTGCTAACAGACAAGAAAGTCACGCGTGAGTGGGAAGGGTGGTGTCCTTGAGGCTCTGAGGAACGGATCTGGGGCACTGGTCCCCAGCCAGCAGTCACTCGCAGGGGTTGGCCGTCCCGGTTCCCTGCAGCCCTCGGTGGTTGGCACGACGGACCTGGCAGCTCTGAACGCTCTGTGGGCACTGTGTTCATCTCGCCACAGATTAAAAAGGAAGCTTGGCTTTCCCGGGTAGGGAATACATAAGACTTTGCTAGTTTTCGTACAGCAGCCACAGTGGAGCTGTCAAAGACCCTGTGAGGGGTGCTGTAGGAAAAAGCTATTTCATGTTCTATTTTAAACAGTTTTTTCAAATATTTGGTGATATTTACTGTTTCTGTGAGACATACAAATCTTCTACCTAAAAAATGAATAATGAATGGGAGCAAATGTGGCTTAATATTTAGAGACCACCCCAAAGAAATGCTTCTGAGTTTTCAGACTTGTGGAAGACTTCACATTTGCTGACGTAGATATGTAACTTTTGTTGGTGGTGGTGTTGTTGAGAGGGAGGATCTCAGTATGCTTTACGTAAATAATTGAAGATTTCTGTTGAAAGCTTTTCAGGGTAACAAATTATCTTTCCAAATCAAATTATAGTCTTGGTAGAGAAAATAGCCCCCGATACCACCTACTACATTTGAGCTAGTTTAAATTAGCGTGTGTTTGTGTGGTCTGTTCCTTAGCAACATCAGCTACTTCTTTCAAACAATGATTTTTGTAAAAATCAGTGCAATAAAAACGTATTGGAGTTTGTAAATAATCACTTGAGAGTATCTACCAGTCAGCTTTTCTTCCCTTTAAACCTGCCTCCGGCCTGAGGTCTCCCTAAGCTGCTCCCCCAGCGACCCCATGTGCTCGCCATTTTGAGATTGTGTAAGAATGGGAGGTGTTTGTTGTTAGCAGGGCACTGAATCAGTCATTCAGTGCTGAGGAAAGATTTGTGGCCAGAGTAAGTGTGAACAGGCGCGGAGCGGGACGGTGTGAGCAGGAAGCAGCTGCTCACCCTCATTGCTGCTCGATTCTCCTCCGTGTTGGAATGTACTTATTTTATCCCTGTTTTCTTGAGATATCCTACACTTTGCACAATTCCAGAAGCTTCTCAGTTTTAACCACAGGGCTATGTCGGATATTTTTAGGGTTCAGCCGAAGTGAGTTACAATCTTTGGTTTTTAATACCTACCAGCTGTTTTTAATGTGTCTGAGATCAAAAACACCGGAAGGCAGCCTCTCTTCTTCACCCCAACCGCACTGGGCCTTGTCCTCTTTAATCCTGTCCCCAGCGGCCTGAGGACTTTCAGCAGGGTGTCAGGAGCAAGGTGACCATTTGCCTGGACTGGAATTTGCATTACAACTGCTTGTTTACTGCATCTGGTAGGCCTGAGAAACATCTGGGGTGGGGAGGGACCGGACCACCTTCTGGCCTGGACTCTTCCTGTGCCGGGACCCAGGTGAGCTGAGCACCAGACCTGCTCCTGCCGCAGCTGCTGTGACTCCTCCGTGTCCCTTTGCACAAACACTGGCACACGCAGGTTTGTGCAGGCTCTGCCCTAGGTAGAGCCGTCTACCTGCGGGGGGAATGCGCCTTCCCTTCCCGGTCTCCCCTTGTGCTGGGGAGTCGTAGCTGGCCAAGGACCTCCCCGGAGCTGGAATTCTCAGGGATGTCAGCGCCTGTGCCGCAGACCTCATGAATGAGCCTCTCAAAGGATTTTAAGTGAGAATTCTTAGTTCAGATAAATGGAACCGGAGAAAGCCCCAGACTGATGCGTTTGGTGTCAGTGTGAGTGAGATTTAAAACACTGTGAACCTTGCTGGGATCGGTCTCCTGCAGGGGTGAGGAGTGAGACGAGGTGGGAGCCTGTTCGGTATTTCAGGGTGAGGCCCTGAGAGTTGAGGAAAAGCATAACCGTGCTTTCTCTGAACCTTCCTGTGGAAATCCTGTCGACCGATGGGAAAGTAGTCAAAGAAAAAAGCAGTGCTTCTCAGGGAGGCCCTGTCCCAGTCCTGGGCTGAACTCTGCGGGTTCCCAGGGCCTCAGGCCCCACCGCTGCTCCCCAGGCCTCAGACCGTTTGTCCCTGCAGCCCAAATGCTTAACACCTCAGGGGAAGCCCTGCATTTCTCCTCAGATGGCGGGGCTGAGGGATCAGCCCTGCAGGAAGCAGCTCAGCCCACCTTGTTCCCGGTGATCTTTCTCAGAGAATTTACAGGTGGGCAAGGAAGGAAACTGTCCTATCCCAGTGACTCTTTCCGTTTTTATTCCTTAGGTCGGAATTACCACACAGCATGGCAGGAGTTGGTTCTTACTGAACACACTCAGCTCTTTTGTGATCTTTACTTTAGGGAACCAGCATGTTGATTTCTGATTAGCAGGGGAACCCTGTCTGTAAGAATTTGACCCCTACCCCATAGCTGGAGCTAAGGGGTGGAGGTGGGCTTTGTTAAAGCAGGACCGCTGACCCCTCTACCAAGCATCGTGCTCTCAGGAAGGTGGGTCTTCCACAAACGGGAAGGGACTGAGACCGAGGGAGACGAAGGAGGCATGCAAAGGGACGACAAATAAATCAGGTGTGTTAGCGCCGGGACCACTCCTCAGAGGAGCGGTATCATTGTGGACTGCTGCGACTCTTGCTAATAGAGTAAACAGCAACCCTGATCCTGCTTTTGGAAGTTTCTCCACCCCCTGCAGACCTCTTGTTCTCTGCCCTCAGGCCAGTTCTGCCCCGGTTTTCCCACATCCGGACTCTGTGGGCCCTCACAGTTCAGGACCAAGAAAGACAGCACCTCACAGAAGGCCATGTGGACCTGGACTTGTAAGCCTCTTGGGGACTTTCCTCAGGGTCAGCTGAGCACATTTCCCAACTGCTGCGTTTTTGAAGAAAACTAATTGGGTTATTCCTGCAGGCAGAGCTGCTTTGGGTTTGTGTGACTGGAGCTTTTCTGAGCGAGGTCCTATCACCCGCTTTTCTCCTGTTGCTTTTGTCCCTCGTTTATGTATCACAGACACCGCTGGATCCCCCCACCCCGTTTTCAGTGCTGAGAATTGAGCCCAGGGCCTCTCTACCACTGAGCCACATCCCCAGCCCCTTTTATTTTTATTTACTTTTTTTTTTTCTTGTACTGAGGATCGAACTCAGAACCTTGCGTTTGCCAGGCAGGTGCAGCACCACTGAGCTACATCCCCTTTTTATTTTTTATTTTGAGACAGGGTGTCATTACGTTGCAGGGTTGTCTGTGGCCAGCAGGAAAACACGCACTTTATTTGCAGGTAACAGTAGAGCTGGCATCTTGTAGGTGCTGCTGAGGTTGTTTTCAAAGGGGGCTGTTCATTTAAACCCTGGCCTCATTAAAGCCGTTGCTTAAGTGCACCATGCTGAGGCAGCCCTAGGAAGCTGATGTGGTAATCAGGAGACTGGGTGCTGCCTGGTAGTCTCCCAGCAGGTCTGTACTTGCTTAGAACTTCAAGTAATCTCCAAAACAGATTTCAGAAGCCATACAAGATGGCGTATATCTTTAACCCTAATTACTTGGGAAGCTGAGGCAGGAAGATTGCTTGAACCCAGGAATTTGGAGCCAGCCTGAGCAACGTAGTGAACCACCATTTCTGAAAAGAAAAATATATTTACATATATACGTATGTGGGGGGGTGTGCACATACACTCTTTTGTAGCTTCATATTTACTTGTTGTATATTATGATGATTTTGGGAAGTGGTGGTATAGGAACTGCAGACTCTGCGGTCCGCCGTGGATCACTGGGGTCTCCAAGCCGCGGACATCCACCCTGCAATGATCTGGAGAGCAGCTGACTGGAGTCAGATGGGGACTAGGGGGAGAGAGGACGTGGGGCAGGACTGCAAAGTCAGACTCCCGCTCTGCCGGGAACTCGCACACACTGCCATGGAGTATGCGTGGGGTGCAGAGTCCCTGGGAAAGAGTGGCCACCTCAGCACCCACGGTGGCAGGCTCCGAACCCACTGACCTCGCCGTGCGTAAGTGCTGACAGCGGCTCCATGCGTCTGGTGTGCATGCGCCTTCTGTCTCTGGGTGAAGTTTAAAAGCCAGCACGGA